AAAAGCTTGCAAACAGCTATCTAGGAGCAATGATGGGTCTCTCCTCATCCAGAGCAAAGAAAATGAAGAAAAGCAAAGACTCATGGAAGCAATTAGTTCAAGGGACTGGTACACCATGCAATCGTCAGCCTACATGACCATGAGGCCAGAAGAACTAGATGGTGACCGGCTACCTCTGCCAACCACTTGGAGGGGAATCAGTGCAGGATATCCTGGATAAAGTGGGAGAACATTGTGGAACAAAAATTAAAATAATAAAAATCATTAAAAAAAAAAGACCAGGTTTGCCTGGCTCTATGGCTCCTAGTTACCCTTTAGGTCTAGAATTGAACTCACTCCTGTAGCTTCCAACCAAACAATAGACAGGCATATGGGCTGAACATTTACATCGGGTAGACGCATTCCTTGGAGTGATCAATTGTGGGAGAACAGAAGAGCAGTGTTTGCACAGGGAGACAGCTTCGGGGGGTGGGTGGGAGTGCATGAAAGGAAAGGAAACAGGGAAGCGGTAACCACAGGGGGGCATGGGAAGAGAGCTGTTGCATTGTGGGAAATTGCAATCAATATCATGAAACAAAATGTGTGTGAACTGCTGTATGGAAAATGAATTTGCTCTTTAAACTTTCACCCAAATCACAATAAAAATGAAAATAATAATACTAAAAAAAAAAAGAAAAATGGATTCAACTGAGGAGGCTTTTGTTTTGTTTACATTTAAGAAATACTGAAGGAAAAAGGTTTTCTCAACAGACAGAAGAGGTAGTGAACTTCTTAAAATAATGACACTATATATAAGTTCAACTGCAAAGAAAGTACTCATATTTTAGAATCCAAATTTTCAAACATAATCGGTTTTAAAAATTAATTAGCATACGACTTTCTCTGGCGAAACAGCTCCTTAGTTACATATAGCTAATTACATATACAGAAATCAGACATTAAGTATATTTTCAACGAGCACCCTATCTTAAGTTTTGGAAGTTCCTTCCACCACTAATGTACATAATAGGTTGTTCAGAGAGCTGTGATAAGAAAAAAACATTACAAAAGTGCAACCACACTCCTATTTTTAATGTTAAAAACAGATATAATTTTTCTTTCAAAAGAACATAAGGCCTTTTCATTACTATGAGATTACAACCAATTGTTAACAATGTATGACATTTATTTTAAATAAATACTCATTCTAATGGAAAAAAACTGATAGAATTTATCTGCTGCTTTTACAAACTGTGATAACTATTCTAGAAAATGTTTAAACCTGATTTTTTCAAGTGAAATTAACAATAAGAATGTGATTACTGTTAGGCTAAATTCTGCAGTTGCTGGTTTTTTATGAATTTATATGTTTGATGTTTGATCTTGAGTAAAAAATAACAAGTCACCACAACACAGATTTCCTTTTGCTTTGTTACGTGTTTGGCAACAGAGTTGCAGATGCAAATGTCAATGAAAATCTTGGCTAAATTTACAAAGTTAGCTTTACTATGAAGAATTTATTATTTAACCAAATCATATTGCTCACACAGGATGTTTCTATGAAAGGCAGATTAGGAGTAACAAATTATATATGAGTTTGAAAACTGACAATATACAATGCAAACTTAGAAAATTTTATGTCATACTTACATACACATATATAATTTCTAGCTACTTTGTATTTTTGTATTTTAACTTGAAAGGACTCAAGTGGCTCATTTGGTTCAATTTCATCTTCTTCTAGCTTCTTAGGAATACAAGAATACCAAAAGCCAATAGTAATTTATAAAATAAAAATGTAAATTTCTTTACTGATCATCACTAGTAATCAAAGAAACACAGCAAAAATTTTAATAATATGTACTATTAACACTTACCAAGAATTTAAAAAGTTCTTAACAGTACTGGGGAGAATGAAGTGAAATAAATATTCATAATATAAAACACTAAAGTTTTTAGATGTTCCCTTATGTATCAAGAATACAAGAAAATTCTTCCTAGACTTTCAAGTAATCAATTCCACTTCTGGCAATCAAAACTAAGGAGATAGTTTAAAATGCAAATAATGATTTATGGGCAAAAACACTTACTCAAGTGTTATTTATGATAGTGAAATATTGGAAACAATCAAAATGTCCAAAGTAGGAAAATGAAAGTATAGGAAAGCCACATGATGGAATGTTAAGTAATCTTCAAAAGATATGCTTATGATGACCTTTTAATAATGTGAGAAAATATGATATTAAGGGAAAAAGCTATATCATTATTTATATACTTTATATCTTATGTAAAAATATGTGTAAAATACTTACATATTTATATACTATTTATATATCAGGGAATTCAGGTAGCATAGTGGCTAAGGCACTTGACTGCTAACCAGAAGGCTGGCAGTTCAAACCCACCAACCACTCCTCGGAAGGAAGATGGGGCAATCTACTTTTGTAGTGATACTGCCTCGGAAACCCAAAGAGGGGTGGTTATGAGTCAGGTCCGACTCAGCACACAACAACAACAACAACAACATTTATATATCAACCTAACACCTTTAAAAATAGGCAAAGAAAAAGCTAGAAATGTTAATGTTAATAATGAGTATCTCTGGGTGGTGTTATTGTTGTTGTTACGTGCCCTCAAGTTGGACCCGATTCATAGCTACCCCTCTTTGGGTTTCTAAGGCGGTATCACTACGGAAGTAGATTGCCCAAACTTCCTTCCAAGGAATGGCTGGTGGGTTTGAAGCACCAGCCTTCTGGTTAGCAGTCAAGTGCCTTAGGTAGTAAGTTTTATTTTTTTCTTCACCTTTTTTTGGTATTTAAAAAAAGAAAAAATCAAGATCATCTATTACAGAAGGATTTAAAAACAGATCAGTAACATGGAAAATAAAGTAAGATGCAAAATGGGGACAAATAAAACATTTATTTCACATATGTCTCCTAGAAAGAGCAATGTCACAAAATGAAAGATTGTCCCTTCAAAAATGATAATAACATTCCCACTGAGAAATAATAAACTACTTCAGAATTTTAATTCATCCTATGTTTTTTGTATTACTACTGTAGTTCTCATACTGTGCGTCAAGTACCCTGAGGCACAAAGTGATCTCATAAAACCAAAACTCACTGCCACCGAGGTGGATCTGACTCCAAGTGACCCCTCCTTGGTTTTCCAAGGCAGTATCTACGGAAGTAGATCACCCAACCTTCCTTCTGAGGAGTGACTTGTGGGTTTGAACCGCCAGTCTTCTGGTTAGCAGCGAAATGTCTTAGGCATTATGCCACCAGAGCTCCAAGTAATCTCATAAAGGTAACACAAAATGTTTTAATTTCGAGAAGTGTTACTCAGTATCCATTGGATACTGAATGAACTAAGTCAAGGTAATTCAATTTCAACAGTAGATGTTATTACATTTCTTTTGATGACATCCTATCCTTATGAAGCTGGGTTTTGGGAGGTTGCCTTTTTCAGAACAAGAAATGGAGTACTGGTGTCTAATCTATTACAAGGTTTGAGAAGTTGTGCAGTGTCCTATAGCTGCACTCATTCCATAAGTGAGTAACTTATTTACATTGTTCATTTAAAAATGAAATATTTATTAATTATTAGGATATAAATACTTAAAGAGTTATTTAATACTAATTACTACTTGATAAATAGATCTGTTAAGTATTTCTTTTGACCTAAGGATGCCATGAAAAAATGACTGAGATACAAAGGGGGCTATGAACTGAGATAGCTTGGGAATCTCTGTATTACTATAATCCCATTAAAAATCACAGAGCATGCTGTATTAAAATATAAGAACACATTGATAGGGAGAAAAAAAAAAAAAGTACCTGTGGAGGAGAATCCTGGTTCAGAAGATGCAACTTTGGTATAGCTTGTGAAACTACTGTAGTAAGTGGTTTTGAACCTAAAATGGATAAAATCAGATTATATTAATCATCATACATGTAATAGTGTTCTAAAAATTTGTTTTAACTGAAATAAACAAAGTTTATAACTTAAATTTTCATATGAGGCAAAATCTTGATAATCACTGAATCTGGACTGTGGGTATGTGGAAGAATTCTCTCTCTGTATGTTTGAACATTTTCTTTCTTTCTTTTTTTTTTTAATTGTGATTTGGGTGAAGATTTACAGAGCAAATTCACTTTCCATACAGCAGTGCACATATACTTTGTCTCATGTCATTGACCTGTTTACCACAATGCAACAGCTCCCCTCCCACTTCCTCCCCATAATTACCTCTTCCCACTGTCCATCCCTCCATACACTCCTGCCCCCTGAGCTGTCTCCCTGTACATAAGCAGCCCTTCTTTCTCCCATGATTGTTCTCTCTAAGGAGTGTATCTACTTGAGGTAAATGTTTAACTCATATGCTTGTATTTTGTTTGGCTGGAAACCACAGGTGTGGGTTCAATTCCAGACCTGAAGGACAGCTAGGGGCCATAGTCTCAGTGGTTGTTTGAACATTTTCATGATAAAATTTTTTAAAAAATTAGAATGGAAGTCTTTTGGGTTACTTTCTAAGTCAATAATAGTATTGTATCCTTTTTTTTCCAAATTAATTGAAAATAAATACTGAGACAATGGCTAACAATCTATACTAAAAATGAAATATTGACCAATTGTTAGGAGCAAGAAAGACAAGCCCATCATTACACTGCTGCTGTGTGCAGCCACAGAAAAAGAAAAAGCACTCAGAAGTTATTTCTGGATCTATTTTATATCTGTTTGACTATGGCTTGTGAAAAGAATTTATACTCACTTACTCACTAAGCAAAGAGCTCTTGTAGCCTAGTGCCTAAGGCATTTGACTGTTAACCAGAAGGCTGGTGGTTCAAACCCACCAGCCACCCCTCGGAAAGAAGGTTGGGCAATCTACTTCTCTAGTGATAGTGCCTTGGAAACCCAAGGAGGGGTCGCTATGAGTCAGATCTGACTCAATAGCAGTAAGTCTGGTTTTGGTTTGGTATTCACTAAGCAATTATTTTCAAAGTGTGAAGAAGACAAACAAGACCCCTTAAAAAGGGACAGGTACAGGAAACAAGAAAATAAATAACTAAACCAGGTAAATTCAGATTGTGATTCAAAAGGCTAATATATCAAAGGGTGATATGATAGAGAGTAACTTGAGATGAAGTAATAGGAAAAGGTCTCTTAAAGGAAAGCCACATTTAACATGATATCTGAAGGATGAAAAACATCAATTATGCCAGGGGTGAAAATATGCAAGTGAACGGCAGAACAAATACAAGGACTCTAAGGCATAAAAACTGGTGAATCTATGGAATGGAAAGAGGATAGGGTGGCAAGACCTTATCACCTTACCAATATCCTTTTAGAAAGTAAGACTTTTTCCTTAAGAGAAAAAGTACATATTTAATAATTTCTATCTCTCCTAAAGTAGTAAGATAATTTTAAGTGATTCTTACTGCAAAAAAAAAATTATAGCTATATCTGAGGTAAACATTTTTACCAACTGTATTTTGGGTTTCAAAATTTCCTTATATATAGATACTCCTTGGAAAGAACAAACATGGGAGAAAGAAGGGCTGCTTATGCACAGGGAGACAGCTTAGGGGGCAGGAGTGCATGAAGGGATAGACACGGTAACTATCAGGAGGAAGTATCACGGTAACTATCAGGG